CGAAAATCGGGGGAGAGGCAAAAATTTTGAAAAAAAAATTTATTTCCCTATACTTGTACTTTTTTCTCGGGGTTATAAAAACAATTATGAACTATTTTTATTTTAAAAAATATTTCCACTATTATTGTATACCAATAAGCAGCTCAAATGTGTTTGCTTAATAATTACTGTACCTTTAATTTTATGGAAACAATAAACCCAACATACCGAAACGGCGCGGACCTTTTGTCCTTATGGCTTACTTTAATAAGATTACTCTTAGTTAATATGGAAAAGAAACTAAGAAACAACCATTTTAAAGAAGTTCGTCCAATTGGTTAAGACGATAAATTCAAGGTGTTGTCAGATCAGAAATCAATACCTATTATGCCAGTAAAGCCGTAGGGTTGAAAAACCAAAAACAGAAGTAAGAATTATGGATGTTTCGTTCCTAGTTAGAAATTTTATAGGATTTGAAGGCAATCATATTACATCCGCGATGTAAAAGGGAAGGATAATATAATGAGATGTTCGAACTTGACGAATCTTGGAAAATAAATGCGATTTTAGATTGTTTGAAGTTAATAAACGTTTAATGAGATTGTACATTAAAAGGGAGACGCCAAGTTTGTCTTTAACAAATTACATTTTTTTTTGTTCTCGATTCCACTTTGTCTTGGTAGAAAGCCCCTGTTTTGCCTCAGCAGTGTAAATCACAAAATGAACGACGTATTTGGCACCCCGAGGAGGATGATATAAATTGGAGGGGTACAAAGATATAAAGGTCTCGGGAATTGTCCCTGAATGCAATTAGCCCCCGGGTAATCCGGTTTGTGACGAACACCTCGCGCTCCTACAATAGCCGTTCTCATTACGGCTGAACCTCGTTAAGAGGCATGGGACGGTTGGTGGTTGGTTGAAGGTGACGGAGGAGGAGATGGTTTAGCCTGTTCCTAACTGGGTTTGTCAACTTCATCCTCTCCTTTCTCAACCCTCGAGAGCCCACTCCACGTTTTATTTCTTTCTTCTTTCTCACAGGAGTCCATGGAACTTAATAACTAATCAGTTATCTCCCGGCGAAACCCTACCTGACGCGGGGGGAATTCAATTTTCCGGTTTTCACGTCACGTGGGCTACGCCATGGCACCTTGATTGTACATTTATCATCTTGAAGGCACTTTCCTTTTTCTTACAGGCCTGGAAGTAATTCCCGGTCGTAGCATTTTCCACTCGATTTATTAATGACAATTAATAAGCTTCACTTTTCAAAAAGTGAATGTTGTGTTTATCAAAATAATTCTCCATTCGGGAACTAGAACTCTCAGCAATCCACTTATTTTATCAGAAAAACAACAGTAAATGCGTGCCATCCGCCATTTGAATCTAGTTGTTATCAAGTATAATATAATATTTGAACTTTTTAATTTGAATCTAAACTAAAATAGATAACATTTTTAAGTAACACTGCGCTAAAAACATAAAAAGTTGGGGCTTATTTTTATATTTTTTCAATCTGAAATAAAACATGGCTTCTAACACAATCTTCGCAATATCGCTTCTATTATGAATTTTGCAATTGAACATGAAAAACACAACGAACTTTGATATTATTTTGAAAAAAACTTATATGTGCACTTTCAATCGACATTTTATTATTTTACTGGGTTCATCTACTCTCGTTGGATTAAGTTTCTTTTCTAAACGTATTTTGTTTCGTTGATTTTTTTTAAATCAAACTCTTTATGAAACATTTGTTACCGTCGAAACTTCGGCCGACAACAGTTGGTCCCGTCGCTCAGAGGGTGAAGGAGAAAGGGGAATTGTTGAGCCCCACGGTATTTTTTGGGAAGGGTAAATACCGAAACCCTAAGAAATGAAAAGAAATGGTGGTAAAGGGAGGAAGGAGAGATAAAGAATGAAACCAAAGGGGGGGAAAAATAACAGTAGCGGAGTTTGGAATTGAACCCACAACTTTCGAGGCCCGAGTCGGCGATCGTAACCACTAGACCAAAGGGGCCGACTGAGCTTCGCTGCATCCCGCCGGCTCACCGCCTTGCGCCTGGGATCGCCAACGAAACCCGGGGGCCAAATCCATCCTCCGGACAGATAGAGATAGAAATAGAGATAGAGAAAGATAAAGAATAATAATAATTTTCGCCGGTGCCTCACCTGCACAACAGGTGCAGTGAACAAAAAACTAGACAATTCAGCCTCCGCCGAATAAAAAAGGTCTACAACAAATATCAATAAGACCGCTCGACTTTACACTGTATTCAACTAAAATCTCTTACATAGAAAATAAATCTTATAAATAAATGACAATTAGACTACTTAGCAACTAAATCTGAACTCTTTAACCTAAAATGACTAACTACTTAATAAAACAAAGAAACCTTAAACCTAGCGTAACAATTTTGTCTTATAACTTAATCAATTTAATCTAACAAAAGGAGTTCAATATCATATTTAAGGTCTTTACTAGGTGAAAGAAAGACAAAAGTGTTGGGATCGCCAAGCTTTCGGCAACATTATGCTGCCATCATCAGGGCCTATTTATTAAGAAAAATATACATAATTAATATAAATTTAACAATCAATAATAAAAACAACAATGCATACTTTCCCAAGAGAGAAGAGAAAAAATTCTCATCAGAAAAACTAATGAAAAAGTGTTTTGGTTTAGGTTATGAAGCACATGGCTTGTTGTTGAGGTGGAAACCTACTTCACCTTCCATTGGCTTCAGGTCAATCACCTACATTCCCGGTGTGACTTAGAGAATTAAAAATTAATGCTTAATAAAATAAATGTAAAAATTGCTTATAAATACAAAAATAATCTCTCTTGTCTTCATACCGTTTTAAAGTCTAAAGAGCCTATTGGCACACGATATAATGTGGTTTATAGGGTGTCCTGTGGTGGTTGCGTCGCTCAATATGTTGGACAAACAAAGCAGAAAATTCACATTAGAATGAACCAACACAGATTGGATTGTATTCATAAAAGTTGACCACAGGGTTGTCCTCTAATGCTAGAAAGAATGGTCTTTTTTTCAAGTTGGACTCCCCGGAGATCTTGGGTCGAGAGGTCGGCTTTGAGAGAAGACTCCTGTTGGAAAAGGTATATATCCATTTAACGAGGAGTGCCTTCAATTTAAATGCTGATGAACTAGGTTCCATGTCAACATTTTCGGGATTATTGGAAATTTATAAAAAACGGAAAAAAAGTTGGCGACCGTTAGAGGGCGCATAATGAGGAGTGCATAGAGCCTGGTAGCCTTCAATAACTGTATCAGTCCAACCTTAGGTGAGACGACGTTGTGTCGTGTTCTCATCTTAATTTTAATCCTTTGTACATATAATTTAAAACAAGCTGTAAATTCTAGTCATTAATGTAATACTCTGTGATAACATATGGTTTTAATGTCAAAAATAGCTAGTAAGAACAAAAAACAGTTGGACTTGTAATTGTGTGAATTATTAGTGAGGTAATTTATTTTTTAAAAATGTTATTATATATATAAATTATTGTTTTCGTCATTGTTAATGCGAATAATTACTCATTACTTTACATAGATGACTTGTTCACCATGTATAACTGAATGCTGGCTATGTGCTTCATAATCTAAACCAAAGCACTTTTTCATTAGTTTTTCCGATGAGAATTTTTTTTTCTCTTCTCTCTTGGGAAAGTATGCATTGTTGTTTTGATTATTGATTGTTAAATTTATATTAATTATGTATATTTTTTCTTAATAAATAGGCCCTGATGATGGCAACATGATGTTGCCGAAAGCTTGGTGATTCCAACACTTTTGTCTTTCTTTCACCTAGTAAAGACCTTAAAGAAGATATTGAACTCTACATTGATTATCTGCAGGTCGATCTACAAACATCATTTCATCATTTCACATTCAACATCATCAGAATTAATAAAATACAGAAAGTCAATCGGCCGTGTCGGCGAACTCACGTCGGGGCCCTGGCGCAGCGTGGTCCTCATCCGGGAGCAGCCTCGGACGGGGTAAAATGATTCGTCCTCGTAGAACTACAAATCCACTTCTGAGTTCTCTTCCCCATCATTCTGACGAGGGGAAGATGCCAGGTTACTGAGGACGAACAATCCGCCGCAGCGTGAATTTCCCCTTTCCTTTGGCCGCTCGTTCCATCTTCCACGCCGAAATTTAAATTTACACGACTTAAAACTAAGATTTTTCTTTCCCGCACGCAGGCACAGGCAAGCCACCAGAAAATCCATTATTACTTTTTTTCCTTTAAAAAAACGTAATTGATTGTGGAGGATTAGAATCTTACTCACGTCTGAAATGAGCTTAATTAATTGTAAAGTTTCTTGAAAATGGATGATTTGGTATTTTCTATTAGGCTTGTGGAGTGATGAACAAGCCTTTAAAGACTAAAATTAGTTGGGCTGACTCAACTTGGTATGAATTTGCTTTTTTATCATAGAAATGACGAGCAAGTCAGGCTTACTGAGAAAAAGTCATTCACATCTGTCTCGTCATCTGTTTGTCATTACGGTTCCTGCCAGAATAGATAATTTCAAATCGCTTGAATCAACTAATATTTTTAGTAGATTTGTTAAATGGTTTGACACTTAAAATATATAAAGCAATTTATTAGGGTGGAAGCCAAAAAGCTCATAGGTTAAAAATTCATGATTCTCTCCGACCCTAGGCCTCTCTCAAAGCAACGTCCCCAATGTAATAATATCGACAGGATAAAATAACACTTTAGTGAGTTTGGGACCGTAAGGTTGGGCAAGGGCGAGGGTGAAGGTAGGGTATTCTTTATGCCCTATTTAATATTATAGGAGGACGGCTATTACGCGGACCTAATGCTCTACTCATCTCTTTTTAAGAGGTTCAATATTTCACTTGGAAGTAGAGACGAGCTCTCTTATTTTCAGTAGGCACCCTCTCAATCTGATGGCGCCGGATGAAACAGGGAGTGGCGGTGGAATGAAAACTAAGATTTGATAGATTTTTTAAATCAAATGTACTTACCGAGTATCTCGACTGTGTGTATCTGGTCCCTGTTTCCGCCGTCACCGATTTGACATACGTAGTCTCCGGCGTCCTGAGGCATCACGTCTGATATTTCCAGGTTGAAGCCGTCCACCAGCCTGAAACGCGTGTCTCGGGTCACCATCATCTTGTCCGCCGTCAATACTGACGCTCCTCTCCTCCATAGAAGCACGTAAGTTCCTAAAACGTCGATCATAACATTAGGAATAAGCATAAATATGTGGAAAATGTTTTGCAGCAGCTAGTCGAATTTATTAAGCTCTAGTTTATATCGGGAATGCTTGCTAGCAGGTTAAGCGATCATTTTCTGGCTCAAATTTGTCTTAGTGGCATGAATATGTTATTAGTTAGTGCGACCTGGGTTGCATATTAATACGTAACACATATCAAATCTATGTGCGGTTGTAAGAAACTAAGGCTACTAATTATATTTAATATGTATCACGGTCGGTACAACATTGTTAGACTACATTGCCAATTATAATAAAGTCTGGAAAACAATTTACAAAAATTATACCAGCGGAGGTTATATATTTACTATGTTAAACACGTCAAGGTCCAATTCTTACACATGTGATATGTAAATATACTTTTATAAATTACATAATACGATAGTACCATTTCTGCAAAACCGTTTGATTTTAAAAGCTTAGAAAATGAAAATGAGATAAAATGTTAACAATATAAATTTTTAACAATAAGAACCAACTGGCGTCAGAAACAATATAAAAGTTAAAATAGTTTACATCATTTCCTTTCATGTTTCGTATTTCTTTAGTTTCTTTTCATCCTTATGGTGTTACAAACTATGCTCTAACAGAAAAGCAGAAAACTAATTGCAATAGTAGGTGTGGAACGATTACTAAAAAAAAAGTCGAATTTTGGGGTCTCCAACCTGCCACTCTAAGTGCCACAGATTTAAGGAAGATGTAACAAAAAAGTTATTGTTGTCTAAATACAAAAAAGATAAACTGCTCAAAAATGAATATTGCCAATTTTGGACTATTTACTTTACCTAGCATTTCGATTTTATTTTTATTATAAATTTCATTAAAATTTATTAGAAATTATTATGTTTTTTGCTGGAGGTAAATTGACTTAAGGGATTTTGAAAAATAAGTGGTTTTAATTTATGATTTTATTTATTGGGCGCAATAATTTTTTTAATCAATTAATACCATGTGTCATGTCATCCATTAGCCAAAATCTCTGTACTATAGTTAACTATACATAGTTGTTGCAACGCTACACTGAGGTGTTGCAGGTCAACTTGCTGAGGATGGTGACCGAACAGCCTTCTCTTCAACGCATCTCACAAGTTCTCGATGGCATTGAGGTCTGGAGACAATGGAAGAAGGGCAGATGAGAAATTCCCAGGTTTACTAAACATTGTTGGACAACTCTGAGTCTATGAAGTTTGGCATTGTCATTCAGAAATTGAAAATCTCTAACAATGAGATTCCTGGTTTGATGGATGTATTCGTCGATAATTTCTCAGACATCACGGACTGCGGTGAAGTTGTCTTCAACAGTATGGCGTCCAGTTGTCCTTCAGTGCAAAACTCAGTACAGACCATTACACCGTCTCGCCCAAACATAACTACATTCCAATTGATGTTCTCTTCTAGGCGATCCCGGCAACCATATTCTCTTGAGTTGCTAGTGGCGTGTTGTTCCTGCAGGCCGTCTCAAAGAGGCATACGTTGTGAGGCCAACTTGACACAATAGATTATGAATGCTTTTTGTTGATAAAGGCCTTGACAAAACATCTTGTACTTCATTTAGGATCTGGCGGGCACAATGGAAAGGGTTCCGTCTTGCTGCAATGACAATATTTCTGTCCTCCCTTAACGTCGTAATGCGTTGAGATCAACTACCAGGCCTCCTATTGGCATTTGGAATCGGGCTATAGCCTGAGAGACCATGCTCTAAGAAACGCCAATTTCTGGTTCAAGATGATGTTTTCCAAGGTTAAAGAGATTAAACTGGATTAAAATAAAGAAAAGACGAGAAAAGGTGTTTCCTTACAAAATGAGTAATCTTCATATTTACTATTCTTATGTCAATCCTTATTAAAAATGAGGATTAACGTTTGTTTTTTTAGGTTTGTATTTGCTATTTTGTTTTATCCAACCAACAAGAACATATCGGGTAATTTAATTAAAATTAATATAATAAGAATAAATTGAATACAGTATCAACGCCCCACCAGCAGTATGTGTATAGGTCGATGGATTATTTATAAAAATCCCTCACCGACCCTAATTTAGGTTAGATTATTAATAATGTACAGGGCGATGGAGGAAGATCCACTTCTCCACCGACTATCGGAATGAGTGCAATGTATGAATGTATTTATTTGTGTAAGTAATCTATCCAATTTAAGTAGTTAGTATTAGGCTAGATTGTGTGTGTATTGCTGAAATGACCTAGCTTTGTAGCCCCCGTCGGAGCCTGACAGCGTCGGTAGGGAAGCGACTATCTCCTGGGCATTTGGCTTAAGGGGGATACCAGCCTTCCCAAGAAGGTCGGTAAACTCCCGAGATTAAACTAAGATTAGCACATAGGGGAGGGACAACATTCGGGGTGAAAGCATGGTGGGAAGTAAAGGTGATTAAGAATAAATTACAAATATCACTGTAAAAATGTATTTTTGGGCAGTTTATAATCGTCACTGGTGCTTTCAGGAAACATAAGATAAGAACATAACCAAAGATTCACCCTTTGTATTGGAAAATCCTCGGATGTAAACATTATTTTAAGAAATTCAAGTAAGTTAAATGTAGCGGGCAATTGACCGTACAATAAAGCAACGGAGTAAGTATTACGGCTGGCAAATGACTCAACAAGACGGGCCCAACTCTGAATCCTGATCGGATCCCCAGAGGTCTTGATCGTACCTGAATACAAACCAATCAGGTGCTTTTCTGTAATACAAATTAATCCGAGTTTCAAAGAAATTTATTGATTACACAAGAAAATAATAACAATTAACACAAATTAAATTTCCTTTTTAAAGTTTAATACAAACAATTAAAATTATTAAATTTGAATAAACAGGAATTTCCTATCTACAAAAAAATATCTGTAACCGTTTGCCAGACTATTTGTAAAATGGTGGATGGTAGTCAGTATTTACAGTCAATCCGCTGTGAACCAAGCACTTTGTTTTTAGGGATTCTAACACTTGAATTCTATTTTTAAGGTTTCACACTTTTAAACTTTCTTCTACACGGAATGGACTTAATTGCCCTGTACCATAATAGTAGTATCATCTTTTTTTTTACTCTTGAACTAATCATGAAATCTAAATCATCGAAATGCGACATAAGAAACTATGTGATGGTTGATCATTAGTTGTAGATTTCAAGGGTGATGGAGCAATACCATGTACACCACCCTAACTGAGTGAGGATATGTAAATAAATAAGAATGTACTTAAGCGTGATAGTGCGAATGGATTTAGGAACAGATTACGATGGGTGCTCAAACCCAAGCTCCGCGGCCGGACGGATAAGACAGAGGTGGGTGATCCTCGAGGCCAGCTGATATTTAATCGTAAATTGCAAAAGCTGGAATTGCTAGTGGTGTGTGTGTAGATTTGAACTTACATAAATCATGAATCTGTAATCAATTTATTGTTGAACCAAGATAAGTTCAACTTTTTGTAATTTAAATAATAATACATTTACGTTTTCTTGGTCAATGGACCAAGTTACTTCTTCAATCAATTAATTATACATTCTAGGTCTTGGTTGAAATAAAAAAAAAGAGAGTTGGTGCCCGAGAGGATCGAAGTCACGATAGCTCAAGTGCTAGAGTAGCCGCGTATTTAGCCGAAGGTCGTGGGTTCGAATCCCGCTCGTGACACTGGCGTTTTTATCTCAACCAAGACCTTAGAAAGAATAATTAGTTTTTGTAATTTAGTTAAGTATGGCTATTTATATTTTATTTTAATAGTAAAAAGTATTCCATACAAGAAATTTTTTTAAATATTCAGCGCTTTTCATTTCGGTTGATTACCTTGAATCCCTCGAAACTCATTCAAATAGGAATTTTAGAGTTAAACTTTGTTTTGTCGTAACGTTTAATAAATAAAGATTCAGTTTTCATGTCAAACTCGCATATCATTTCATTTTAGGTCCGAGACGTTTGATTGATGCATCCACCAGTCAGCTTTAAAGCTAATCTCTATAAAGTGTTATTGTGCATTTAATTCAATTCCGCGTGATTACATTCTGCCCGTATTGGAATCTTTTCATTTTATTAGATTTCTCTTTGAAAACGGTTTTACATTAGGGACAAGTTTGATTCCGAGGATTCGTGGGATTGAGACCGAGTACAGATTTGTAGAATGGGCCTGCCGGGTAAAGGGTCCGTTTTCAAGACTCGTCCTCTTTTCTACGTTTTAAACCGTACTCAGAAGTTAATGTAATGTAAATAAAGGCCGACCGGATCTGCATTTGTAAAGTAAAAGGTATTTTTTTTGCCAGTACGCATGAATTATGTAAAAAAAATTATTTTAATCGGTAATTATACAGATCGCATCGTATTTAGTACTCGAGGCAAAATTATAGTCTGGTTATTTAACTTAAATAATGGTAGTGTCTTAGCAGGTGTTCATTCCAGAAGAACGTTGATTACAAACAAACTCGTAAAAAAACTAGTAGTCAGATTCTCGGGTTTGTTCTCTATTAAGCCGTTATTTTGGATCGTAATAGGTTAACTAATGGAATTGATTGCCTGAGAGGAAACAATCTGAATCAGAGGTGTTTTGTTTGGATCATCCCTTTCAACAGGTTTCACAACAACAAACTTTATGGTGAAAATTAGTACGGAAACTGCCAATTTACATGAAGGGGAAATAAGCGATTGTAAGGCAAATCTAAATAGGTCGGGTACACAAGATGTTTCACTCCTTTTCACCAATTATTGAGTTTTGCATAACCTTTTTCGTTTGTAGATCGACGTAACTGATTTCTAACACTCTCAAAGTAAACTACATGTTGTGTTTGCCTAGACATTTATTTTATTTTATTTTTTGCGTTATGAACTATGCATATTAGCCATGTGACAATTCATATCTGTGTGTTCAAATTTGGGGGGGGGGGGTTATTGTGAAAAAAGGGCCAGAGGCGACGGTGGGAAGCGAACCCACGACCGCGGCGTGAGAGTCTCTC